TATTAAGTTACAATTTAATGGTGACTTATCTAGTGAGATTCTATTCCAAAGACTTTCAAAGAGTATACGAAGAACATTTTACGCAGGACACCTATGTTTTTCATTCATTTCATAAGCTTGATAGTTTTGCCACATCTATGTGTATTTATCAATTCGACTGCACCTGCGGTGACAGTTATGTTGGTAGCACTACTAGACAGCTAAGCCAACGTGTTAGTGAACATCTCCCATCGTGGTTTGGCAAAGGACAGACAAAAACAATCCGTAGCTCAATTCTATCACATTTAATTGATAGTGGTCATTTAGTTGAGAAAACGAAAGCCTTCAAAGTAATTCATCGTATCCCACCGAATCTTTCCAATGGACTTCGTATTCTTCTACTGCACACAGCTGAGGCGATAGGCATTAGGACTATTAAACCTAAACTATGCGTCAGAAAAAGTTCGTACAGCCATTATCCCCCCCCCTATTGGCCTATTAGGACATAACCAACTAAAGATTTCTTCACCGCCTCTTACTTATATTTTCAACCCCTTTCTTATCATCCCTTAATCTTATCTTCATTAAAAACATGTTTCATTTCCTTCCCTTACAATCTAACATTACTTAATCGGTTCACTTGTTTTCACTAGCCTTTATCGACTACTTCCACCTGGACAATTGTTTGTTTAATCCTACTGTTTTTCATTATTCGTGTTATCACAGATTGTCTCACTTTTTCATTCTTATTATTGAAAAGACCATTATTATTATTATTACTATTATCATTAATTCTGTTATGACTAATTGCACAATTTATATTCACCGTCGTATTATCCCACAGACAAAACACCATGATTGGTTTATATTTGAATTTTATTTGTAAACTTATATATTAGAGTTAAGCCTGATGAGATCTAATTGAAAACAATATTGTTCGCTTAAATGTGTTGTTCTAAATAGAAAGGTGCTTACATTTGTGGAGGCATGAGCAATTAAAACTCATAATCCCGTTCACTCTGTTTTTATTTTACTGTTTGCCGTTCCCAGTGGAAGGTGGTCACTTTGACTCTTTTACTTATCAAATGTTATTATATTATTAATATTTATTCCTTCTCTTATTATTATTAATTCGTTCAAAGCCATCCTTTGTCAATATCATTATCTTAGCCGCCACCCACTCCACCCCCCGTATTATTACTATTCAGTTTGCAACTCCTGACATTTTCACGTTCTTTCTATAATAACTAATTGTTTATTTAATTAATTAATATTGTGGTGAGAACTAGCTGCAAAACAAAAATTGTTGACAGTATTTTACGTCAGTGTTTATGTCCCGAATCGTTTTCATGAGAGAAAAAAACAATAACAAAGCTTAACCCTGAGGAACTCACTAGCCAATCACAGAGGACTTAACGTGTGCAAATAAGATTCGCAGATATATGGATTAACTTTCTAAGAAATGATCACAAGCAGTACAGAATAACTTTCAGCAAGAAAACAACTAATCAGAAGACGCTGCTTCTCTATTAACAATACCGCTAATACTAATGTACATAAAAATGTATAAATATCTATTGATTTTCTCAACAAACGATCTGTTGCCTGGCCCTTGTTTTATGTTATTACAATATGACTGAGATGAATTTCATTATTGTCCTCATTTTAATCAATCATGTCTCTTCCCCGCCATATGACTAGTCTTACTATTTGACTAAATTTCAGCATCGAAATTCTCATAGAAGTGTAGCAGCTCAAGTTGCCACACTCCATGAAGCACAGAAAGGCAGACAATGGGGATCCACAGGGACTATAATAAGCAGAAATGTAAGGGATTCGTAACATGGAAAAACATCAGTGTTTAATGAATGCATCTGTGCCATGACAACGACTTTGAACCATATGACCAACTACCTCCAGCCACTGGTTCTTGGAATCATGAAGACCGTGACAAGTAGGCTTAAACCTCTCTATGAAGTTCAGACTAACTATACAAGATTTTAAGAACTAATTCCAAGTTTTTATATGACCACCACTAGATCTTTTCCAACCTGATCCTATGTCAGCAAACATTTCTCGACAAGGAAGGCTGTTTGCTACTGGACATGCGTAACATATATTCTAGCTGTTTCAATTAATATAGCTTCACAACCTGATCAACTGACATTTCCTCCATACCTAATAACAGTCAACGCCTGATCTCAATATTGCTCACCCTATCATACCACTTAACACGGGAGAAAGAATGCAAGACAGCTAGCAGTTTTCCGTGTCCCTCACTTTCAATACTCATGTCTCACAGCTAATAAAAGAGGACTCAGCGAACTGGTGCTGCTCAGCATACACATCCTTTGATTGATAGCCGGGTATTTTATTTGTGTATCTGAACTTGTAAAGTATTCGCACCTGGCATTCCACTTGACTAATTCAGTGTGACTTATATGCTTTTCATTCATATATATTTATTTCTACACCTGTTCGAAACAAAGAGAAGTAATTTTGAAGTGTTTGTTTGTAGAAATCTGATTTGTGTCAAGTTTGACTGACGATTGATATCAGTTAGAGAACCATTAAAAACCATCAGGGAGTTGTAGATAGCTGTTCCCACCTAGTTTGGAACTCCTCGGAAGTATGCACCCACTGAATTTCAAACTTAAGACCTTCCGGGTGTAGAACGAAGTTGCCTAGAGTTCTGGTGAGAACTCGTCACCAGTGGAATACACATAGTTGGAGTGAGAACAAATACTCACCAATGACACTGGCTGGTGGCCACGCTAAAAATCACAAATTGGTAGAAGTTAGAATTCATGGGCTATCCAGTAAGTCGGTGGCTCAGTGACCGAACGGTCTATGAACTTTCTTTGTAACCATGTCTTGAGTCAGAAGCCCGATAGATGAGTACCGATGAAGAATCCCAAAATAGGATGAAACAGCTATTCAGGACTCCTTGCTAGTTTTCAATGGTTCTTTAGCTGATATCAGTCTGTGATCAAACTTGAAACAAATCAAATCCCTACAAACTAACACTTGAAAAGAGAAATAACATTCTGCGAAGAGACTTTTTTCAACGAATTTATTATCAAGCTGTACAGTCACATATATATATGGTTTCGAAGAAGTTATATCTGGTGAGGGAATTGAATTCTAGATGTTAATGCATAAAATAATAATAATATGAAATGCAATTAAAATATTTGTACAAGAGGGCGCAAGAACACTATACTGCATGGATATGAAAAGGTGGAAGTGAAGCAATAGGAAGCACGATCATTGAACATCTGGTCGATAATGATCACCCTACCTCTATAGCCTCCGTCCTTACAGCTATCTATAAGACAGAAAGTAACTTGCCCAAATCACTACGTACCTGACTCATCTGTATTGCTGAAGCTTTGGTTATCTAAACAGAAAGGCCAGATCTTTGTGTACAAAAAAAGTTCGTTCACCTCACCCAACTTTCATGGTCTTAATCCTTCTATGCTAAAGTACAGTAATCCCTAATCAGATTTTGGCTCTAACACTTTTTTCATTGTGTCTATTCAATTGGTATATTCTTCCTTTATTACGTCAATTGTCACTATTAGTATTCTCCCTCTGAATTGTCTCCAGTATTATTTCACATGTTCCTGCTATCATTCTAAATCAATTCTTTTTTACAACGTCAAAATCTATGTTTGATTTCATGGAGGATTTCATCATGAGCTGACATCAGTTAGAGAACCATTGGAAAACCTGGGAGTATTTGACAACTGTTTCGTCCTATTTTGGGACTCTTCAGCAGTACGCACCCACCAACAGGGTTCCAACCCAGGATCGACTGGTTACAAGGCGACCTTGTAGACCATTGAGCCACTGGGACCCGATCCAATGGCCCTTGAATTCTAACTTCTGCCAATTCACGACATAGCGCGACCATATCGCAATGTCTTCTTCGATGAGTTACTGCCTTATCTTCAATCTGCTGTACCTTACTGGTCACGGCTTCCCACTGGCCTGAATAGGGCCAGTAGCTAGTTAGCATCAGATTAATTTTCAAGTATTGGTTTTGTAGGGATTTTGTTTGATTGCATGGGGGATTTCATCATGAGCTGACATCAGTTAGAGAACAACTGGAAAACCTGAGAGTACTGGAAAGCTGTTGCTTCCCTGCAACCAGAAGGTCCTGGGTTTGAACTCCAGTGGGTACGTAATGTGAAGAGTCCCAAACTAGGACGAAACAGCTGTCAGTACTCCCAGTTTTTCTAGTGTTTCTCTAACTGATGTCAGCTCATGATGAAATCCTCCATGCAATCAAACAAAATCCTTACAAAACCAATACTTGAAAATTTATTCGATTTGCATACTAATCCTGAAATCGCACACCTCTTTCAAGTTCTATCCATCCTATGAATTATACTATATATGGCATTAATTTGCTTGACAAACAACTATGATTATAGTCATAAACATTTTAGTTTTAATTGCATTTCATACTATTATTATTTTATGCTTTCACACCTATGTATAATTTAATTTCCTCACCGGATGTAATTTCTTAAAAACCATGTCTATATGTGATTGTACAGCTTGATAATAAATTCGTTGTTGAAAACAGTCTCTTCACTGAATCACTTGTTTTGATTTTCTATATGTTACAATGTGAATTTCCCATGAATTAACATTCTCTTGTAGATTCATCTTCAAATTAGTTCAGGACTTAAGTGATATTTTAATTTTTATTATTAATCTGGTAAACACTAATAACAATAACAATAGTAATTAATCATAATGTTAGTGACAATAGTGATAAGTAATCATTGACATACGATTTTAGCATCATAATACATAGAATTAATCAGTCTGCACGAAATGTTCTCCTTTTCGTAGTAATTATCAGTCGAATAATAATAATAATAATATAGACTTGAAAAGAGTAAATAAGAGAAGAAATAAGTCAATAATGACTAGAAAGTTTTACGTATTTATGCGTTATTTCATCATAATTGTCATTATTATTGTTATTATTATTGTAATTTTTTCATCTATCTTGCCATACTAGGACGTTTATTCATTTCACTACCTTGAGCTAAACTTCTAATTCTTGCTATCGCTTTATTATCCAAACCTGGATCAGCTAAACTTCCACGCTGGGACAAACAGAATGAACTGCGTTTCGACGCCAGGGTTCTAGCTGAACTACACCGACTAGCTGTCACTGACTCCCAACTTTCACCAGAACGTTGTTGTGCTGAAGCTAAATTCGAATCAGCGATTTTCTCTCGTTCAGCGTCTAATTCACTCAAAAATTTCGCTGTTTTTTCACATTCCGATCCATCACGTCTACCATTTAACCAGTAGGTTAATATTGTACCACCATCCTTTAAACATAAGTAAACAAAATAATAAAAAAATGAGCAAGGATTATCCTTTTGAAAATTTTCTCTTCTGGCTATAAAATTATACATATGTTCTAAAATACTCGTCAGTAACAATATTGGTGGTTTTATTAGATAGTTGAAGGCAATCTACAGGAATCCTTGGACCTAGTTTTCGTGCTTGTTGGTACTCATCAAAAAGGCGTATCTGCAACCTTGAAGGAGCTCATGTCCTTTCCGAGATTCGAAACCATTTCACACAGTGCTGCAGTCAGAGACGTTACCACTGAGTTATTCGCACTGGCTCGCGATTGACCTCGTGTAGGACTGTATTAGATACTTTTGATTGGACACTAACTAGCGTCGTGTGTCTAGTCCTTTGTTTGGTGAAGGCTGAATTTTATCAGTCAGGTTTGCAATGTGGTCACTATGGTGGGTGACTCGTCATCACGGGTGAAATGGATTCAAATCTCAGAAGCGACATAATTTCCTTCAAGATTGCAGGTGGGCCTTCCTGACTGGTGAGTGCCAACGAGCACGAAATCTAGGTCAAAGGCTTCTGCCAATTGCTTACAACCATCTAATACCGACAATCCTGACTGTACCGTGATGGCAAGTCACCTATCATGGTAGGTACACTGCAGACTTGACTGATAGAATTCAATCTGCAGTGAACATAGGACTAGACATATGATACTAGCTAGTGTCCAATCAAGAATGTTATCACTACATTATTATTATTACATTTAGTTCCTAGAGTAACACAGGGCTTCAGATTCACGTCTCTATTGCGTTCGGTTGTCGGTCAAAGTTTCCACCTGCCTCCACGCATGCTCACATGCTTTCATCTACTCTTCACATGACCTCCTCCATGTCACTCCACCCTCGAGCTGACAACCAACTCGCCGCTTCCTATTCGCGTTCCACTCGGGCAATGGCCTTGTGTGTGATGTCACTTAATGGTTTGTTTTCTCAGAGTATGATCAATCCACCTCCATTTCTTCCTGAGCATTTGTTCCTGCTGTGTTGGTTCGCTTTCAGAGATCCCTCCCTGTCTCTGATCTTTTCTCGCCGGCCATCTGATCTTGAGTGGTATTGAGCGAAGACAGCTGTTGAGGAAGGTGTGTAGTTTGTTTGAAGTGCCCTTCGTGACGCGGCGCCAAGTCTCTGATCCACATAATAAATAACACTGACTTCACATTGGAGTTGAGAACTTGCATTTTATTTTCCATGATGAGTACTGTTGACAGAGTAGTGAAAGCTTGCCTTGCTTTCCCGACCCTCATTGCTTTGATATCCTCATCAGTTCCGTCTGCCTGTAGTTGAAACGACGCTTCCTAGGTAGGGCAGGTGAAGGAGGTTGCTTCTTTCATATTCCTCCCATTTACGCCGACTGTTGTCTGTTGTTGTTACTGCTATGATTGCTGGCCAGAAATCTTCATCACCATATGTGTTTTCACTATGTCCACCTGAAGGAAGTCCTATCTTTGATACTTCCTCTGCCAACTTGTTTTCACTTGCATATCTTCCAGTTTGTGGGAAATCAGACATATACCATCATCGGCGCAATCCAGATCCATCAACAGTTTTGTGTGAATTCATTTAATGCCTGTCTTCTCGTTGCCCTCTGTCTATCGCATCATTTCTTTGTAAATATAATGAACACTACACTATTCCAATCGGTCATCAACAAATTCAGTTGAGTAATTTGAATTCATTTACCAGGAAGAGATCATTCATGTACCAGATTATGTGGCACTCTTATTGTGCGAAACTTAATAGTACTTACTATTCAGTTGTTCAGGCTGGAGTTGATGAAATGGGACTCGAACTCAGCACTCATTGGTTTTAAGCCATTAAGTCATGTCTGCGTATTCAATTCATAATATCTCTTTGTAAGTAAGAAATATTCAATTTCTGTTTCGAAAACTGTCTGGTAGTTTAACTATCTAGTCTCACTCAACCGATTTCAGATAGAACGACTGCACTGCCCCCTGCAAAGTAGGTGTGATACTTCTACACACAAATCCTGAAACATTTATGTACTCTATATTATTTCCCGGAGTTGACTGTGGCTTCACGGAAAGTCTTATTAGCCATTACATTAAAAAAAATAAGAGTTGAATAGTCTGCGAGGATTCACTTACCTTTAATTCAACTATTCCCTTTTCTACTAAATCATATACCCCATACTGTGAGAGATTTTCATAAGTTTTTATACTGGCTTGTATTCTTTGTGGCTAAATAGAATTTAGGGATAGTAGAAAAGACAAAACACATTCAAAAAAAAATAATAATTAGATCTTAACGCAAAATCTGATAATTAGAAAAATTAAATGTAATCTACCGCCGGAAATGCGATGTATATTTAACTTACCTAATTTTGAATGAAGACGCTATATGCTACTGATTGGTTGAGATGAGTAGTTGGATAGCAGTCACACCAACCAGTATTGCTTGCTACCCAGATCTAAACACCCAACGACTGTTTCGCTTGTTTGCGGTCGAGATCATCGGTAGTGTGTCCAATTTCGCTCAGCTAACATGAAGACAAATTCCTCTGACTAAACTTAAACCTGACATTACTGACCTTGACCTTGGCGGCCTGTTCGAATTTTTGAGCCTTCTACTATAATATCTAATATAATTACTATATTTTATATTGTCCTATCACCTGTTCAATAATTTTCAGTGGCTAAATGAAACTGATGCGTTCCGTAAGATCATCAAACACTGCTGACTGTCCTTATTCTATTTAATGTGTTCTGATATTTTGTTTTCTAATTGTATTAGGTATTCACTACAATCAAAGTCATCCACAAAGTCAAAAAAGCCTTCTTAATAAACAGTAAGCTTCCGTATACCTTGCATTGTCCAGGAGACTTGAGAGATCCGGATGGAAAACCCTGATTTGTGTGCATAGAAGAAACTTCTCCTCCCCCTCCTTCTACCTTGAGTATAATTCCAAGTTCTACTACATAGTTCATAAGGCTTTCTTTATAGTTCCTGTATAATATTTTACCAACATCTTTTTCTGAACCAACCCTTTATTTGCTTTTTCTACCTATTACATGATCTGTTTTGGAAATTTGTCTCCATGCTCTTTCAGTAACATCCTATTTTTCTAGATATCTTTCATATTACGCAACCCTTGTCAGTACTTACCAATCTAGTTTCACTGCACACTAGTAACTAGTGTGATGTGTCTTGTTCTTTCTTTGGTGCAGATTGAATTCTATCAGTCAGGTTTGCAGTGTGGCCACCATTATAGGCAGCTGGCCATCATGGTGTACTTTAAAATGTTGATATAAGATGGTTGGAGGCAATCATCGGGAAGCCCTGCCTGACTTAGGTTTCGTGCTAGTTGACACTCGTCTGCAACGAAGGAACTTATTTCCCTTCCAAGACTCGAACTGGTGTCATCCAGTGAATACTGCAGTCAGAGATGTTATCACTGAGCTATTCAGGCTCACGAGTGACCTCCTGTAGGACAGCACTGGATACTTTCATTGGACACTAGTAACTAATGTGGTGTGTCTAGTTCTTTGTTTGATGAAGGCTGAATTCTATCAGTCAGATTTTCAATATGGTCAATCTTCACAAGCCTAGTTTCAGTTTAATTTTTCATCACATTTTTGGAAACATTTTGATGACATGAACAATAACCCTAATTTTTATTTTTGTTTGACAATCCTAATATATATATACACACACAAAAATTAAATATAAAAGAGATTGTACAGCTAAGTGAATGAATTCGCCTCCGAAAAGAGGTTCTTCGCTGAATGTTTTGTTTTGATATTAATGTCTGGATGGATGTTTTCCGTGAACAATCAGTTCTGACTGACTGCATTTTTATTTTGAAGTTTATAATTTCCCATTTACCTGAATGCACCCCTTTGCTTTGAAGTCTTCTGGTTAGCAGTGGAGTCTAGAAAGAGTGTTTCATTCCATTAGAGACTTCTAAGTTGAAAATATCTTCATATCCAGTGAATAGTGGTGTTCGCATTGGAAGTCGAACCCAACACCATTTGTTTCAAACGTCACACAGCACCTACGAGTTATTATTATTTTTTTTTAAATTTTGATTTTTCCTCTGACTGATTACACTTAAAGAAAATATTCAACCTACAATTTGCAAAGTCATTGAAATCAACTCTTAGATATTTTTCAGTTTATCTGAAGTGCTTTTAGGCGAAGTGTCTTCATTCACTACCGCTGTTCTACTTTTAGTCCACTAATTGGCAAGTATTCCCGTTTTGCTATTCTCCATTGAAACCGATACTCATCATATGACAAAGTCAAAATGTTGTTGTTTGTAATACACACTGATAAAGTGATTTATAGAAATGACTTTATTTTCATAAAACGTTATAATTATCAATTAATGACACATAAATAAGTAAATCTACTTTTCAGATTTAATCTTAAAAGACAAAAGATAGAAAAGGAGGTAAGGTGAGAGAGAGAGAGAGAAAGAGGAAGACAGACTACATTTAACTGGACGGTATAAAGTATAATACAGTTTACTATATCAGTATGGAAAGTATCCTTTGTCGGAATTATATTTATACACCTGTAAACTGTACAGTAAGTAATTTATCCTTGCTATTTTGTTAAACCTTTTATTGGACAAGTTAATATCTCTGCTTTCTTCTTTATTGGCAGAACAATAAAAATAAAACAACACTTAAAAAAACGGGAGGTGAAAATTAGTCAACAGCTAAGTGTACAAATATGTTAGATGTACAATCTAAATAGGAATTGCTTTTTGCTTTTACAGCCGAAGTTACCAACAGTTCCAAAAAAGCCTTATTCTTACAGATGCAGTTCCTTGGGGACAACACTAGCGAGATACTAACACAACGCCTTAGAAATGCGGTAAAACGAGCACTCCCTGCTGCTGAATTACGTTGTATCTTTAAGACCACTCCTCTTCTGCGTTCAGGAGTAAAAGACAAACTGCCTAATTTCGCCTCATCCATATGTATCTACCAATTTAACTGCTCCTGTGGAGCCAGTTACATACGCCGCACAATTAGGCGTGTTTCTCGTCGAATTTCCGAACATCACCCTGCGTGGTTAAGCAAAGGTCAAACAAAATCCATTCATAGTGCTATTCTGTCTCATCTTGTGGAGACAGAACACAAGATTGACGTTAGCCATGCTTCCAGGGTCATTTACCGCATACCTACGAATCTCAATTTTGCCATAAGATTTCGACTACTAAATATTGCTGAAGCTGTGGGGATCCACATCAACAATCCTAATATATGCATCCAAAATAAGTTAGTTCAGACATTATCATTACCTTGGCCATCCAGGTTTGAATTATCCTAAATTTTTGTGCAATTTCCCTAATTGTATTTGATATTCTATTCGCTATTATATCTTTATTACTAATATAATTTAAGTATTTTTAGTGAACTGTAGTTGCATTGATCATACTTTACAAATCGATATTATTTAAAAAAACACTAATATTGTTATTAACTACCAATCTTGAATATTTTGTGTATATTAACATATATATAATTGTGGAGCCAGAAGAGGAATTTATCGAAAAGTATATTCTTTGCTCGATTATTTTGTGTTTGGCTTTTACCTTGACTCTTTTGATGTAGTTGTGTTATCTGAATGGATAGTTAATTTGCGAAGCTTTCATCGCCTTACTAGGCGACATCTTCGGCGCATACTTTGTCTTCGTATCCACATGATATCCACTCCCTCATATCACTACTACATACAGACAACCATGGAGATCAATTTGACTGGAACAATATTAGACAGAGGAAACAACAAGAATGCTAGAGAATTTTTAGAAGCCAGCCTGGCATTCCAGTGAATCATCAATCAATAGACACATAGAGACAGACAAAATTTATCAACTGATAAGAAAGAAACCTCACACACACACACACAAAGGGTCAAAGTTCAAGTCAAGGAAACAATCAGTTCCAATGCAAGTAGCTGCCTAGATGATGTGAAAACACACAAAAACAACCAATCACGACCAAGGTCCAGTCACCAGGAGAGATGATTAATAAACTCGTGGAGAAATCTAAAAGCTCACTTCAACCAATTGAAGTATGCGCTGAAGATGTCACCTAGTAGGGCGATGAAAGCTTCGCAAATTAACTATCCAGCTCAGAGAACACAACCACATCAAAATCATCCACCTGAGCTACAAATCTTCTCTATCATACCTTGACTCTTCTTTGGTTCTCCTAGTTTTTGTTAATTATTTTAGGCAGTCTAAAAATGAGCAAATTATATTTGCCGTACGCAAACATCGAGTCCGCAAACATATTTGGAACACTGTCTAGCATGGCTCGGTGGAATCCCAATGGAAGCAGCAACGAGGTGCGAGGGTGACATGGAGAAAATCGTGTTAGTTGGAGGAGGAGAAGATGAGAGATTATGGTCATTCGTGGGCCCAGGCAGATGAAGAGGATAGCAGAAAACAGACGAAAGTGGAGATGTGTTGTTGAAGCCGTATTTTGCACTCAGAACCCAAGATAGTAATAATAATAATAACGTTCCGTTTTCATACAGATTTTACATAAAAACATTTTGTCGTCTTTTCACAGTTTCTTTTCCACTCTACACAATTATATTGATTAGGTATTTTCTCACACTTATTACGTCATGCCAACTTATGCCTCTTTTCTAACTTCCGATTAGTCATTGCTTCTAGACTATACCTTACTATTCATATTCAAAACTAACTGACTACAGGTTCCATCCTATCTTATACTTGTTCCACAATACACTCTCTGATATTATTCTAATTTGCTTTACTGGCTGGCTATTGTATGCTTAAATTAATGGATTAATAATTGTACAGTCTGAAGAAGAATTTATTCAAAGCCCAATTGTTCGCTGTGACTATTTCTGTTCTAAATATAATTAGGATTCTGCAGTAGCTTATGAAAGTGATACGTCGAAAAGAAAATTTTCTTTGCTGTTTAATGCCTTTTTCTTATGACTAAGTATGGGAAAAATTTCATTCATTAGGCTAATTCATTCATATGTAGAAGATTTGTGTTTAAAGCGATAAAGAGCAAGTAATGTAATAAACACATTTGTATGAATTTATTGCTTGAATGACTAACGATGTTAACAACTTTGCTAGCTGATTTACTGTAAACAAAACTTTGTGATCATAAGAATAGATTAGAACAACATTCATTCATTGATTTGCACTACGGGTAAAGTCAGAAAAACAACAACAACAGTA